TTATATTAATGATTAAGTACTTTTAATTTCAAAATAGTACCTTAATAAACCTAACAAAAAAGTACTTTTTTATTAAAAACCAATTTCTTGTCCAATTTCTCTAAATAGTTTATAATTTCATAAACAATTTAAAATCTACAAAAAGTACTTTTTTCCCTAAAATAATTCCAGAAACCAAACCTAGTATTTTTAACAAATACATAAACTCTTTATATAAAAAACTCTTAATACATACATATGTATGTATGTATGAGTGTTAACATAATTTGTCATTAAATTTGAAAAATTATATTTATTTGCCACTATAAGAAGGAACATTTAATTAAGGGTGGGTTTTCCCTAAAAACCTACTATACACAAACTAGTTTGCCATATACTACTTTTAGGATGTATTGTTTTGGGTTTTCTTAAATTTAGGGGATATTTTAACAAATATTTGCTTAAATACAAGCTAACTCTTTTTTTCTCATTTTTGCCATTGTCTGGTGACAATATACATATATATATTCCTTCATAAGAGATTTAAATTCTAAATGACAAATTCAATTTTTACCACTACCCCTCTATTTTACACTGTATGTCAATAATGCGTAAACATTATTTGATTTAACAACAACAGCTGTAATATTGTTGAAAATTTCCCATTGCAGATTAAAATTTTGTTATTTATTCAACTACGTTTTATTGTCATTCATTCTTTCTTTCTTTCAAATTGGTGACTGTTACAATGTAATGTAAAATTTTGATTTGATTTTTGAAAGAGATTGAAGAAAAAACTTTTTATTTGTTCAACATTATATTCAATTATTGGCAAATCAACACATTTTTTTCTTCAGTTAACGCTTGAATTATTTGAAATTGTATTTAAATTGTTTATTCATTACTTTTTTGTTAAATAAATATTCACATTTCGTTAGTTATTTAATTCACCCAAAAGTTTGGTAATATGAAATGAAAGTGAATGTTAAATCAATTGTAACTGCAAATTTATAACGTGATAATAATGTTAAAATATTAAAATTAAATAGAAGTTTTGTTAAGAAATTAGTAGATTGTTTAGTCCTGCTTACAACTACTGGTTAAACTTGGTTTAAACTTAAAATCTCAAGATTAATGTAATTTAACTTATTAACACTAATTTATTCTTTTAAATTGTTTTCATAACAAAACATTTAAACATTAATCTTTTAAAACTACTAGTTAAACTTAGTTTAAACTTAAAAAAGTCAAATATAGCTAACATTAACATCTCTAAATGAAAGCCATTAGCAAAAATCTTAAATAAAAAGGAATTTTTAATTGAAATCATTAAAATTTGTTTTAACAATCTCTTTAACTGTTAGTTAAACTTGTTTTAAACTTCAAAAAGTCAAGTTTAGTAAACATTAACAACTCTAAATGAAAGCATTTAGAAAATTTGAATAAAATCATTAAAGTTTGTTTTAAAAATCTCTTAAACTGTTAGTTAAACTTAGTTTAAATTTAAAAAAGTCCAATTTAACAAACATTAACATCTCTAAATGAAAGCATTTAGCAAAAATCTTAAATAAAAGAAAATTTTTCATTGAAATCATTAAAGTTTGTTTAAAAAAAAAACTCTTTAACAGTTAGTTAAACTTAGTTTAAACTTAAAAACCTTAAGATTAAGGAATTTTAACTTTTGAGCACTAAATTATTCTTCAAAAATGTTTATATAAGTAGAGAATTAAACGTTAATCTTTTAAAACTCTTAGTTAAACTTAGTTTAAACTTAAAAATTTCAAATTTATCACATAATAACATCTTCCAATGAAAGTATTCTTTAAAAGTCTGGACTACAAGGAAATTTGAATAGAATGATTAAAGTTTGTTTCAAAAACTGTTAGTTAAACTTAGTTTAAACTTAAAAATTTTAAGATTAATATAGTTTAACATTTGAACACTAAGGGCGGGTTTTTCAGATAAAGATAATCTACATTCTTTGTTTAAACCTGGTTTAATATATGTTTTGTGTTTTTCAGTAAACAGTAACGTTTCTTATTATCTTTGTTTAACTGAGTGTTATTGACCAATTAAACTTAAGTTATAAGTGAGAAGACACAATGAACAAAAACAATGATTATGGAAGAACAAACACTTAATATTTTAAGTAAATTGCAATTTTCTGATTTGATTTGTTTTGTTTTATTTAGTATTGTTTTAAATGTTTATTTAAAATTTTTTCCAAAACTTTTCATTTTACAAAAGTATTATTTGCAAAAAAACAGCTGTTCATTGTTTATGTTTTTGAGTGAAAAGTTGGCAATACTAACAAAGTTAACTGAACTTAAATCCATAACTGAAAAACACAATCATCGTTTAAAGTCCGCCTAAATTTGTTCCGAGTTTAATCTAATAGCAAGTTAAGCCTAGTTTAACTGAGTAGTAAGAAACGCGCTGTAAGTTTACCATATTTAAAGGAAGGTTTTCATTAAAAAATCTAAACATAAAAGAAAATTGTAAAGAAATTATTAAAGTTTAGTTTAAAAATTCTTCATAAATAGAAGATTTATTTAAACTTTAGTTAAACTTTTTTAATAAAAACCTAATCAAAATATCGTCTGAATTGAACAAAATTTTCTAAATAACTAATTTAAACTTGTGATGAACACCTCCTGGCTGAGTTTACTTAAACCCCAGTTAAACTCTGTTGACAAAAAACAAATTTCTGTTACTGTTTGCCTTTCGTTAACAACAACATAACGCTTTTTTCCCACAACAATTATAATAATTGGAAATTTCAACAAATTCTAGTGTTTATTTGTTTAACTTGAGTGAGTGCGTGAGTGTGACACAAGTGAAGTGAATGGCTTTTCAAGCGGAAACAAGACAAGTATCAATGAATAAATTATAGTTGTTGTTATTATTATTATAGCCCTGTAACAAGAAACAAGTGTTAAAAGTCACGCGCCCATTTTAAAGATGCTGCAGGCTTTGCTAGGCAAAGGATACAAAACAAATAAACAACAAAAACAAACAAACTGAAATGTTTATCCAAAGCGTACAGTTGCAAATTGACTCGATTATATTGTCAAATAGAAAAGCAAACCTCATGCCAACAACACACTCCCCCTTTTATCAGTTAAAAACAAGTGCAGGGCAAGAAATTTTCCCAAAAAAACACACACATTTAGAGGAAGGGGGATTTCATTCAGATAGTCATGTACACATTATCCTTGTTTGTTATGCTTAAGGGGACCAAAAGCTAACAAACGTTAAAGTGCTTACGAACGCACTCTAGATGTGTTCACATTCTCATCATTTAAACAACTTATTTCTCGTACAAGTGTAGTTAGTGAAACTGTTTAAGAATTTGTTTTTACAGTGATTTCAAAAGCTCTCAATGGGTCCATAAGAAAAATTCACATAAAACACCAAGAGTTGGGTAGTGTTTATAAAAAACCGACTTTTGGAAAAACCGGTTTTTCGGTTAACCGAAAATTAACCATTTCTAAAAAACCGGTTTGTCGGTTAACCGAGTATAAAAAACCGGTTAAACCGGTTAACCGAAATGTTTGGAAATCTTTAAAATATTATAATATATAGTTGAAAAATGTCATTTTGCGAAATATTATAAATTACTTAATAAGATATTTGCATTTTTTAGTATAGATATGTACATTAATATATCATAAGAAAACAAACTTATATAGATCTGAAGATATTATTGATTCGTTAGGTATATGGAAGTTGCCATACGAGGGATAAATTGACCATATATATCAATAGCAAAAATTATGCCCAGAACTATAAACAGTGTTCAGGTTCGCGACGATTGTCTCGACATAGACAGTGACCTCCCTCCACTCACTACGCCTGTGGTTGTTCAAATTACTGTGAATGACGCTTAGGAATATTGACAGGTGTCATTCTGACTTCCTGTCAATCAACCTAAGCGCCATTACAGTTTGTGAAAAACCCCAGCAGCATAAGTTCTCGGACGGCAACAACAATCCTTATGTTTCGATAAATAAAGTCCGTTTTGAGAACGTTTGAGAAACTTCTCGATTTTTACTATACTCACGCAGTAAACAAGTAAGTATATAGATAATATTTGTTTAACAATCTTAGGTCTGTTTTCATATGCACAAACGGAAAATAATGTTTAAAATTATCTATCCAAAATTTTTAAAAATCACAATAAAATATCAAAGAAAACATAAAATTTTGTACTAAAAATTAGATTTTTTTGAAACCGGTTAACCGAGACTTAAAAACCGGATAACCCGGTTAACCGAAAACCAATGTTTTAAAAAACCGGTTTGCGAAAAACCGAAATATGCAATAAAAACCGGTTTTTCGGTTAACCGGTTAACCGGTTTATAAACACTAGAGTTGGGTTTGTGTTAATGGTTTCATATTGCCACCCCTTGATATTCAACACACACACACACAAATATATATTTATACAATATTTGCCTTGATATTAATGCCACACGCCACAATCTATAAATGTTACCACACACTTTCAACGCCCCTGTTGTTAAACAGCTCCCAACGAAGGAAACAAATTTTTGCCTTCAAAGTAAAATAAAACAAAAAAACTTCTATTCATTCATGACCAAAAAAAAAAATCATTATTGTGAATTTTTTTTTTTTTGGTTAGAGGGTAAAGCAGGACTTTATTTGCGTTATATTGCCGTCTGAATGGAAAAAAAGAGCATTAAACAAGGCGTATCAGATTTCATTATATTACTCAATTTGTCCTTCTTGCTTTCATTATATTAGTATGTGTTTGTATGTTTCTCTTTTGATAAAATTAAGATTTGTAATCAAACGAGTCAGTGGGAATAAAGGAAGGACAGTAAAGGACATATTTTTTTTTAAATTTGCTGAAAAGACAATTTTAATAATATTATAAAATGAAAATGTTTGAAATCATTAAATGAACTAGAAAATATTTTAAATGCTGAGCTTTTAATTTAAACAAAATCAAAGCATTTTTAAAAATTTAATTAAATTGGTTTTCTTTTTACTTGCAGGTCTGGTTTAAAAATCGTCGCGCCAAATGCCGTCAACAGTTGCAACAGCAACAGCAGTCAAATAGTTTAAGCAACTCGAAATCGGTTAATTCGGGTTCGGGTTCCGCCTCGTGTTCATCCTCCTCCTCACGCAATACATCGAATAACGGCAGCAGCAATTCCAATTCAACGAATTCTTCCAAATCCAACAGTCATCATTCCTCGTCCGCCAATAACAATAACAACAACAATAACAGCAACAAATCAAATAACAATTCATCGAATAATAATTCCTCCTCACAGGGCTCTTCGGCCGCAGCGGCTGCAGCAGCCGTGGCACAATCCATTAAATCACATCACAGTTCCTTCCACAATTCCTCCTCGTCCGCCTCCGCCGTTACACCCAGCAGCTCTTCAGCCGTTTCACATTTACATCACATGGCCGGCAGTAGTGTGGGCTCGGGGTCGGCTGGTGGTCTTAATACCTCGGGCGGTAATAATCATCAGAATTCTTCACCTTTACTGCCCACACCTGCCACCTCGGTTAGTCCGGTTAGTATTGTATGCAAGAAAGAGCATCTGGGTGGTTCCGGCTATCCGGGCTCAAATGTTGATGCTTTACGTGGCTCATCTTATGATACTCTTAAGGAATCGGGTGGCGATATCAGTTCTAGTTCTCATCATCATAGTATTTATGGCACAGCAGCCTCGGCCAATCCCCGACTTTTACAACCTGGTGGCAATATAACACCCATGGATTCTAACAGCAGTATAACCACTCCCTCACCTCCCATAACACCCATGTCTCCACAATCGGCAGCTGCAGCCCATGCTGCCCAAACCGCCCAATCGGCTCATCATTCTGCAGCCCATTCGGCTGCCTATATGTCCAATCATGATTCCTACAATTTCTGGCATAATCAGTACCAACAATATCCCAATAACTATGCCCAAGCGCCGAGCTATTACTCTCAAATGGAATATTTCAGCAATCAAAATCAAGTCAACTATAATATGGGTCATTCGGGCTATTCAGCTGCCACTAATTTTGGTCTCTCGCCTAGTCCCTCATTTACAGGCACCGTTTCGGCTCAGGCTTTCTCGCAAAATAGTCTAGACTACATGACGCCTCAGGATAAATATGTCAATATGGTGTAGAATCTGCTGATACAATATTGCGGCAATAAATCGGATGATGATTCAGCCAGTGGTTCATATAATTCGACTAAAACGCCGTTTGAGTATGCATAAATTAGAGTGAATTGTTTTCTTCTTTATAAATAAATAGTCTGAAATTCACCAGAGAAACATTTTTTAAAACATATCCTACGAAATATAACAGTGTTAATGTATATTTTGTTTTTTTCTTCTTTTAGTTAAGAGAGTAACAAAAAAATTTTAGCTTAAAAAATAAAGAGAGCAAAAAAGTTTTAAATATCAAGAAAGGGGTTTTAAAAATTGTGAAAAATTAAAGTTAATGATAAAGCTCTTTAGAGGGAAAATTACTTAGGGAGTAACATATTTAAGCAAAAAACGCATTCCTTGGGTAATACTTCAAAGGTCTCTCTTTCTTTAAAAAAAAGCTAATTTTAAAATATTTTTTTATATTTTCAAAAGATTTTTAATTTTAAAACCCTTTTGTTTTCTTTTTTAAATAAAAAGCTATTTTTAAAGAAAATTTCTTGAAAAAAGAAAAACTTGTAAATAAACTATTGTTTACTTTTTTTTTATCATTTAACAGCCAAGATCAACGAAAATCGAGTGATAAAAACAAAAAAAAAAAAAAAAAATAATTTAACTCTTAATAAATAAACAATCTAAAGAAAAATTATATAATTTCAACTCAAAATTCTCTAACAAATGATAAAATTATTAAAAAAAACACAAAAAAATCCAAATAAACTTGTCTTATGTTTAAAACATTTTTTTATATATATAAATAATTTACAGTATTTTTTAAAAAAACTAATTTTTCTTTTTTTTAAATTTTATAATAATTTTTCCTACCAACAAACTAAAAAAACCCCAAAAACTTTATCAAGTATTATTATTAAAAAAAACACAATTGTAAATGATGATAAAATCTATCAGAAAAACAAAAAACTAGATTTAAAATTATTAAAACAAAAAAAAAAACTAAATATAAAAAAACCTTTTAATTGTATTTCATATCACTATTATTACAACAAATTAAACAAAAAAAATAAATTTAAAAAAACCCAAAAATAATTATAATATTAATTTGTATAAAGTAATAATTAACTCTAAACAAAAATTTCTACTAAATGTATAAATTTAAAAAAATTAACAACAAAAACTTATTATAAATAGCAAATAAAAGTTCAAATCTTAAAAAAAAAAATTAATTAAAAAAAGGGAAAACAAAAAAATAATAATTCTTATTAAAAAAACAACAACTTCTTACATATTTTTAGCAACTAGTAAATTTTATTTAGACGTTGTATAAAAACAAAAAAAAAAATTTCAAATTTAAAAAACCCGCCCCCCCTCACGCCCCTTTAAAATAACTAAGTAATTGTATGCTCTAAATAATAATAATGATAAAGAAAAAACCCACAACTAATAGTTAATAATCTGTGTACAAAAAAACAAAAAAAAATATTTATAAAAAAATATTATAATACATAAAATAATATTAAACTTCTCTCTCAAAAACTGTAAACATTTTTAATTTTTAATTTAACTAAAAAAACATTCCTTTTTTAAGAAATTTATATTTTATAGTTTATTTTTTTTTCTTAATTTGATTTGTTTTAAACAATTTATTATTATTTTAAATTCATAAATAAATTTAAAAAAACAAAAAAAATTTAATTAGTTAATTAATTTAGTTTATTTCCTTGCGTTTTTTTCCTACCCCCCCTTTTCTCTAACCCCCTCCCTTTTTACTCTACGCCTTTTGTTTGTGTAGCAGTTTCCCTGTTTTTTGTAAGTTAGTTTCATATATTTTTATTATTCCTTAAAGTTTAAGTGAAAATTTATTTTTATTATAATTAAAGAAAAAAAAAATAAATGCAAAAACTAAATAAATGTAAAAAAATTATATATAAATATATATAAAGAAAAATATAAAAATAATAATAAAAAAAATATATAAATTATGGTCTTTTATTTATGGTTGGATAAAGCAATTCAAATCACTTCAACATAGGCCTCTTAGGTTCTAATTGTGTAGGCTTTAGGATGTTTAAGACTTCATGACGTCACAGTAGAGTATGTGTCAATAAAATATTGCAGCAGCCTATGTAAATCTTGTCGAAAACGTCTTATCACTAAATATTATTTTCGATGGGATAAATTTTAAAAGGTCGTCCATTAGGTCCACGTTTTTATACCCAACATCAAGAAAGATGGGGGGTATATTGATTTTGTAATAATGGTCATAGACCCGCAAAAGTATGTCCTTATTAAATTATAAGACGATCCAGACAGTCCGTCCGTCTGTCTGTTGAAAGCATGATAGAGTCCGAACGAAATGAGCTACAAATATTCTCTACATCGATCCACGTTTTCGAATAGTCCCCATACAAGTGGACCCTCGAAAAACAGCTTTAACGGGCATATCTTTTTTCATATAAGGTCCCCTTCAGAAAATCACTATAACGCTCATTACTGGCTTAAAAATAAGAATATAGCAACGAAAATCGACAGGCATAAGTTTCGTGCGATACAAAATCTCTCTGCCAAATTTTATATGGATCGGTCTATAATTGAACCTACCTCTCTTATAAGGTCCCCCTCAGAAAATGACTTTGACGCTCATTATTGGCTTAAAAATACAAGTATAGCAAAGAAATTTGAAATTAGAAATGACTTTAACGCTAATTACTGCCTTAGAAATACGAGTATAGCAATGAAATTTCACACACATAAGCTTCATGCAAGGCAAAACCTCTCTACCAAATTTTATGTCGATCGGTCAAAAATTAAGGTCCCCTTCAAAAAGTTACGTTAACGCTCATTACTGGCTTAAAAATAAAAGTATAGTAAAGAAATTTGACATAAGTAATTCTCTTAGGAGCAAAATCCTCTCCAGCAAATGTTATGTGGATCGGTCCATAATTGAGCTACCCTCAATATAAGGTCCCTCCAGATCTTTACTGGCTTAATAGTTCGAGTATAGAGATGAAAAAATTTGACATAAGTAAGTTACGAGCCAAAACCTAAGAAACTTTTATAGGAACGTAAATTTTCCTATTAAATTTCATGCGGAAAGTGTCGGGAACTGATATTCGATGTAAACATATTTTATATGAACCAAAAACGGTCTAAAACAAAAAAATATGAACAATTTTATGAAAAACGGTCAATAATTCACCCTACCTCTCACATAAGGTCCTCTTCAGTAAATTTGATGAGTAATATCATCCTGATGTTTATAGGAAAGCGTACCTTTTACGGTATACGGTTTGATGGTGGGTATATTAGATTCGGCATAGCCGAATATAACACTCTTACTTGTTCTATTTCTAGTTGCCGCCGTGATCACTTCTGTTTTACAAAACAAGATTAGTTTCCCAGCAAAAACATGGTAATAACTTAGTTACAAATTACTTTTCAATGACTACAACATACTGTCAGCATTACTTAAAAGTAGTCTAATAATGACTTAGTTTAAAAGGAGGATATATGTATATACATACATCAAATCAGAAGAAATACACCTAGGCATGTTGTGCATTCCCTAACCAGTGCCTCAGGTGGAAATAGAACCAACCAGCTCCGGCATAACACTGCAAACTAACCTACCGGAGTAATGACTTACGTACCTATATGTTATGTAAGTACTAACTTTTTAGCTTCGACATATTGTTTTTGTGAACACTAATAATAAACGCAGTAAACCTATTTGCTGGTGATCATATTAAGTACTTACCTAACTCCTATTTGTAAGCGAACGTGGTAAAAACTTTAAGGAACTTTAACCAATTACAATGTAAGTTTTTTCTGGGTAGTTGAATCACACTGGAAAAAATCTTATAATCTGAGATCACTTCCAAACCGGCTGATGTATTTCCGAAAAGCCCTAGTTAAAACGACATTTACTTGTTTATAATCAGACCTAAAGTCTTTCAATCGATTTTTTAAGTAACACATTTTTTAAATTTTGAAAAAGGAGACATTAATCCTATATCAATTCCATTTTCTAAAACAAAATCTCAAATTGTTTTTAATGAAAAACTGGTCTAAAAAAAGACTGGCACAAAACAGGATCACTTTAAAAGATTCTGAAATCCATACATATTAACGCAGAAAAACTTTTCAAAGTCATTGACATTTTAGCTCATTATTTTAATACGTTGATGTCATAGGAGGCAAATACCTACCACGAACGCTTGCGAATAGGAAGTTAAAGAAGTACTTTCCATGCTCGCTTACAAAAAACTACTTATATAAGTACTTATAAATAGGAAGTTAGTTAGTTATTTAGTTAAGTAGTTAGTTAGTTAGTTAGTTAGTTAGTTAGTTAGTTAGTTAGTTAGTTAGTTAGTTAGTTAGTTAGTTAGTTAGTTAGTTAGTTAGTTAGTTAGTTAGTTAGTTAGTTAGTTAGTTAGTTAGTTAGTTAGTTAGTTAGTTAGTTTAGTTTTTTTTTTAGTTAGTTAGTTTAGTTTTAGTTAGTTAGTTAGTTAGTTAGTTAGTTAGTTAGTTAGTTAGTTAGTTAGTTAGTTAGTTAGTTTTAGTTAGTTAGTTTTAGTTAGTTAGTTAGTTAGTTAGTTAGTTAGTTAGTTAGTTTAGTTAGTTAGTTTAGTTAGTTAGTTAGTTAGTTAGTTAGTTAGTTAGTTAGTTAGTTAGTTAGTTAGTTAGTTAGTTAGTTAGTTTTTTAGTTAGTTAGTTAGTTAGTTAGTTAGTTAGTTAGTTAGTTAGTTAGTTAGTTAGTTAGTTAGTTAGTTAGTTAGTTAGTTAGTTAGTTAGTTAGTTAGTTAGTTAGTTAGTTAGTTAGTTAGTTAGTAGTTAGTTAGTTAGTTAGTTAGTTAGTTATTAGTTCTTTAGTTAGTTAGTTAGTAGTTAGTTAGTTAGTTAGTTAGTTAGTTAGTTAGTTAGTTAGTTAGTTAGTTAGTTAGTTAGTTGTTAGTTCGTTAGTTAGTTAGTTAGTTAGTAGTTTAGTAGTTAGTTAGTTAGTTAGTTAGTTAGTTAGTTAGTTTAGTTAGTAGTTAGTTAGTTAGTTAGTTAGTTAGTTAGTAGTTAGTTAGTTAGTTAGTTAGTTAGTTAGTTAGTTAGTTAGTTAGTAGTTAGGGTCTATGCTGGGAATCTATATATCCAAATAAACACAACTCTAAGAAAATATGATGTTGCCGTTTGAAAACAAGTGACCACAAAGATATCAGAAAAAAATTTATGGAAATCGTTATAATCACTATTGAAATTTTTGAAATTGCAAAAAATAAATAATTATTATTAAATGACTTCTGATTTCAATATAAATTATTCATTCACATATTTCTCACTTTAAAAAAGAAAACAACAACCATTTGTTTGTTTTGTGCTGTTTTTTCAATTTTATTCTGTGATGCATTAAATGCGAAGAAAAAAATTCCATTAACCTACTTAATACCTTTTTCATTTATATAAATATTTAAACCCAATTTATTTGCTGAAATACAAAACAACAAAAAAAAAGAGAAAAGGCCCATACACTTCCCACGCACTTTGATGAAATAATAATAACAACAACAACAGCAGCAGCAAAAATAGCAAATGAAGTTCTTTAAAAGAAAGAAAAAATAATAAAAAGGGGAAAAACTAAAACAGGACGCGTGTTGCTTATAGAA